GGCTGGAGCCAGGCAGCGGCCCCCCATCGCCCACCGCCTCCTTCCAGCCTCTCCCACCTCACCATCCCTCTCCGTATCCCTCCCGGTTCTCCTGCTGGAGCCACATCCCACCTGGAAGCCTCTCCCATGGGGCAGAGGTCTGAGCAGAGGGCACCTCGGGGTGTCCCCAGGTAGGAATGGGGGGGCCCGATCCTGCCCCATGACCCCACACTGCCCCCAGCACCCACCTTGGCGGTTTTGCTGTCAGCCTGCAGCTTCTCCATCACCTCTGAAATGATCTTGAGGAAGTCCTTGAGCACAGGACTGTCGTCCTGCCGCATGAACTCCTTGCGGGTCAGCTCCATCCCCTGCTGCAGGCTCCGCACGTCCTGCAACACGCTGTCCAGGGAGACTGCGGGGAGGGTGAGCAGCGCCGGGGTCAGGGCAGGCTTGGAGAGCCCCCGCTGCAGCCTGCCGTGACCTCCCCCAGCCCGGTACCCGTGGGTGCTACCTGTGCCCGCCTTGTCGAGGAAGTGCAGCTCCGTGTGGAAGCCGGTCAGCTCAGGGTACTTCTCCGTGATCACCCGCACCAGGTAATGCAGCAGCGTTTGTTTGCGGTCTGTCGACTTCATCTCCAGGAGCTGGGAGAGAGCGGCGTCAGCCCCGGCCCGGATCCCACCGCTCCACCTCACTCCTGCTCAGGGCAGGCTCTGGTGACCCTCCATCCCCATGGCTGGATCCCATCTTCCCTCCATCCCCATAACTGGTCCCTGCATTCCTCCATCTCTCCATACCTGGTCTGTGCATCCTTCCAACCTAGTTCTTGTCCATCTCCATCCCTTTAGCACCTCCCCATGCCTCTCCAAACCCTATAGAAGGTCTCTTCATCCCTCTGTCCCCACAGCTGATTTCTGTGTCCTTCCATCCCCAAGGCTGGTCCTTGAATCCCTATAGCTGCTCCCCACGCCTCTCCAACCCTATAGATGGTCCCTGCACCCCTCCATCCCCCCACAGCCAAATCCCGTGTCCCTCCATCCCTATAGCTGGTCCTTGCACCCTTCCATCCCCACAGCAGGTTCCCATGCCCCTCCATCTCTACAGCCAGTCCCCGTCCCCCTCCATGCCCGAGGTGGTCCCCGGGCAGTGACAGTGGCCCACGCTGACCCTACCGCGTCGAGGCTCTGCAGGCGGAAGCCGTAGGCTGCCCCACGTTTGCTGCTGTTCATGTAGTTCCCGAAGGCCAAGACGAGACACAACGGCTCAGGGACACGGCCCGGCACAGATGGGGCACCCCGGGGGAGGCACAGTGCCTACACACACCCTGGCAGTGCCTGTCCCAGCCCGATGTCCCCCCCATCAGGGCCACCGCACCCCAAACACCTCACCTCAAGGATGTTGCGCAGTTTGGTGGAGGACTTGAGGGACATGGAGGCGGCGATGATGGCGTTGAGTTGCTGTGGGTGGGAGGAGAAGTGTGTGAGCCTCGCTGGAGGATGCCACCCCCTCGCATTCCCCACCCACCCACAGCCACCCCTTGTCCCCTCCAACACCCACCGGCATGAGCAGCTGGGCCGTGTCATTGAAGTTGCCCAGGAAGATCATGACATTCATGCGCTCGGCCAGGCGCGGGATCTTGCTGAAGCGGATCATGAACTGGTCCTCATCTGAGAGCTCCTCGGGCGGCTGCTGCTCCCGCTCAAACTTCCCGATGAGCGTCCGCTCGTACTCGGTGGGCAGAAAGCGCAGCAGCAGCTCCAGAAAGTCGAGGCTCAGAGCTTGCTGGTCATACCTGCGGGTCGTGGGAAGCCCCGAGCACAGTTAGACCCTGCAGCAGGTCCCTCAACACCCCCTGTCACCCATGGCTGGTTCCCATCTTCCCTCCAGCCCCATGGCTGGTCCCTGAGTCCCTCCTCTCTGAAACCGATCCTTGCATCCCTCCATCCCCACAGCTGGTGCCACCACTCCTCCAACCCCAGCACACCCCACACCATCCTGACCCCTCGTCGTAGCTGGGGTTGTACCTGACCTTCTCCCACCGAGGAGGGGACACTCACGTCTCAATGGCTGTGCAGATGTCCTGGATGCTGCGGCCGCCCTTGCGGAGGGTGATGGCCAGGTTCTTGGCTCGGTTGGACTCCATGAGGGTGACCTTGCTGGGAGCCTTCTGCGTGGCCTTCACCTTGAGGGCACTGATGTCCAAGCCAGGGCCCTGCGCCTTGGTCTTGAACTGCTCCTCAAAGTCACTCATGTCCAGCTCCTGCAGGGATACAGGGCTGAGGGCACGGTGGGGAGGTGACGCAGGACATCTGGGATGAGGATGGGGCCAGAGGACCAGGACAAGGAGGAGAGGAGTGAGAGGATGAAGGTGGAACAAGGGGATGAGGTCAAGTTGAAGGGGTGAGGATGGAGCAAGGGGACAAGGACATGGATGGGACAAGGGAACAGGGAGCGGGTAAGGAGGGCATGAGGGAACCAGAGGATGAAGATGAGGAAGAAGACATGGACAGGATGTGAGGATGAGAATGAAGCAAGGGGACAAGGATGGGGTGACAGGAGAAGGATGGCAGATCCCATGTTGTCCCCCTCCATGGCACCAAGGAGCTGGTCCAAGCTCCAGCTCCTCCAGCAGCCACGTGACAACATGGATGGGCGCGAGGTGGACACGGGGGCAACCTCAGCGCGGGTGCGGCATGGACTGGGGCACTGGCCCAGCCAAGCACCCTGCGCCCGCACCCCCCCATGTCCTCACCTGCAGCACCTTCTCGTCGTTGAGCTCGGTGAAGACAGTGCCATCGATCTGGCTTGGCTTCAGCGCCACCCAGTTGAAGACGGGCATGCGGAACTTGGTCTGGATCGGCTTCTTCACCTTCACTGTGGGGTGACGGGGAGGGGGGACACGTCACGGGGTGGGGGGTGGTGGTCCCAAACCCACATCAGGGTGTCCCCAACTCTCTCCTGGGGGACATCCCCACCATCCCGGAGCCACACTCACCTGAACCGCCAGCGGTGGGGG